ATAGTCATCCCGAGTCAAATTCGCAGTTGTCTCACCACATGTATGACCACCAGAGCCCTGGCCCGTCTCCATGTCCCGTGCGTACCGCACGCCTCGCCGCTATTACCACGTCGAGCCTCCGCTGTCCTGGTCGAGTCTGAAGGATCGCAAACCCATACCACTCAACCTCCACTACAAAGTACCATCGATCATCACCGACTGATGACGAGTTTCACGCTTCCATCAGACCACTGGTCTCCAGTCCGAACTACGTGTCCCTTGCTTTTCCATCCCGCTGAATAGGCTTCGATTCTCTGGATCCTTACATCGTAGCCCCTCAATCCAGCTCCACCTTCAACATGACTCCATGGTAGATGATCAGTCCACCCTTGCGCCCCGTCGACATCAAGCTCCGTGTGTACACCACCTTGAATTAACCCCGCGCCATAGTCTTGTCGAAGGCACACAATCCCTCAGGCCTGCGCCACGTGTTTCCACGCCCAGAAGCCGGTTACCATCAGCACTACGCTCCTATGTCGTCATCGCCCATCTCACCACCGTCTTTTGTATCAACCAACTCGGGTCGATCCGTCAGACTGCCTAGTCCGACCCAGCCGAACTCGTTCGACTGTATGACATGCTCGAGGCTCCCAAATCCTCTTTCGCGTATTTACATCCATCACATGATAATTCCATATTAGCTGACATGACTTCCCGCAACGCCTTCAAGCATCCCCATTGTGCCAACAAATCTTTCATCCTTGTCAGCCACAACCCAAGGTTTTCAGTTCCGTTGAACTTATCCATCTTAAACCCGATGCTCGATGACATCGACGTTGCGAAAAGTTATCCGAGTTTTCCTCTCGCGTGATGCCCAAGTACACAAGCAAATATTTACTACTAGTCGCTCGAGCATGAAATCATAAATATCGTATATTTTCTCCACGTGTTTTATAGTACAACCATCCTTTTCCACCGGTTTCCGATGAATGAGATTCGTGCCACGCGCTACTGTCGCTTGCATCTCGCCGAGTCAACGCATGAACCGATGACCGATCTCACCAAGAACTCGCCCGATCTGCCGAATCGACTGCACGACCTGCTGCTAAAAGGCCGCAACTCACTGCAAGGCATCCAACCACGCGACTGCTTTTTCATCCTCTAGATCAACCAAACATCCACCTCGTAACCTAGCTCTGATACCATTTGTTAAAATAAATCCGGGGCATACCGTTGATCATCTGAGGACCAAGCAATCACACGAGGATGACATCGAGAGTTGTTAACGAGGTTCACCGATACGGCTATATCCCCGGGGCTTGACTACGGGCACTCCTTCCCGTAACACCATCACAATACCGCACACCAGCCACCCGGGCGCCGACACACACCGCCTGTTCCTCTTGCGCGCTTGTGCTATTATGTTGGCATAGGTTACATCGTGTGTCTACCCCTGCTATATATGAGAGGCCTAGGATACAAGTGTCCTACTAGGACACGACTTCACATCCTATGTAAACACAATACAACTTATAGTCCAACTGTAACCTACCTTGTACACAATATTCGACATAACTCCAACAAGACTGATGGAACAGGTAGAACGCAACGACGGTAGAAACCGTCGAGACAATGCGGGACACTCGTCCGTGCCATGTGTGGATCACCGCCGCCTTAGTGTAGAGGATGTCGCACATCAAGGAGAGTTGCATTCCCGACTAATGGCAGCAACTTGGTCCCCGCGGGAGTAGTCTCGGGATTAGTATGTTCACAATAGACTGTTATGGCCCTGATTTGGAACGGGGATGGCCACACCTTGAAAGCAACAAACTGGCCAATACAGAGATGGAGGAGGTCATGAGTCATGACTCATGAGCTCATACTTTCCTCATTATCCCAACTGGCTGCGATTCGGTAGTCTGAGTTCCAGGCGTTCTTCGGTACCTCCATGCGGTCGAGGAACTTGCTGATGTTCTCAAGGCCGGAGGAGTAGAGAGAAAATATCCTCGCCAGATATATACTTGCCAACACCCACAAGAAACATCAACACAGCTGCAGCGAGCAAGGCCCCACTTCCGCCGGCGACATACTTGTACAGAACATATGCAGCCCCCACGGCCTGCACCACCAGAGTGAACAGGTGGCGCAGCCAGAGCTCATTGTCCTCCAAAGCAGGCAAAATTTCGTGTTTTCACCCTTTTCTGAAACCTATTCGAGATTTGACCCCGGTTTGTAAAAATTTCGAGATCTGACCCTTTTTGCTACCGCCACAGACTTTTGCGGTAAGGTATAACATGCTACCGCCATGGGCTATGGCGGTGGGTTTTAACTGCACCGTCGCACCGTCGTGTATACTACACCGCAGAAAAGCGAGTAGCTTCTCTGCCGCTCTAGGACGTGCCCTAGTCCTCTAGCTGCCGCTCTAGGCCTTGCCCTAGTCCTGGGGCTGAAACACCATGCAGCAAAGAAACAGCAAGAGAGAGAGAAAGGATGACAGAGATAGAGCCAGAGCTAGAGCTAGCGCATGCAGCTAGCTGCAGAAGCAACGCATGGGATGGAGGCATGGATCACTGTAGCGGTGCATCATCATAGCATGCATGTATGGTGGCAGGGGTTCTCCATTTAAGAAATATTTCTTGTACTATATGCATGGTGGATACACTGCTACAATGGGTGAGATGGTGGGTGCTGTGGGGGTGCAGACCCTACCGCCAACAATTCTGGCGGTAGGATACAATGGGCTACCGCCGAAGATTTTGGCGGTAGGGTATTGTTCATGTTTGACGGCCGTGACGGCGCAGTTAAACCCTACCGCCTTAGGCCGTGGCGGTAGCATGTTATACCTTACCGCCAAAACCTGTGGCGGTAGCAAAAAGGGTCAGATCTCAAAATTTTTACAAACCGAGGTCAGATCTCGAATAGGTTTGAAAAAAGGGTCAAAACATGAAATTTAGCCTCCAAAGCATAGGCAATGATGTTGTCCTGTCCCCCAAGGTGAACCAACAGCAGCGATCCCCAGAGCGCCATGAGCTGCTGCTGCTCGTGTGCCTTGGTTTTCAGGGACATGTGGCCGAGAACGTATAACGCGATGGAGTCAGCCATCTGGTACAGAAGCCAGAGGGCACCATTCAGGGCCGCGGACAGAAAGGGCCATCTTACAAACTGACGACACTTGGTGAAGAGATAAGCAACAATAAGCTTATAAGCAGCAGAAACTCAACAAATTAAGGCCTCCATCACGGCTGCGTCGCCTGCTGTACAGCAGGGCCCAATTGTCAGACTTTGCTAAGTTTATTCTGACCACAACTCGGCGAACTTTAGATTCTGCCGATTTTATTTAGTTCGCCTAGTAGTTTTTCGTTGGAATTAGGCAAAGTCACAACTCCGTCGAGTTGCTTACCACTGCTGAATTCAATTTTGAATCACACTCGGCAGAAAAAAGTTTGCCAAGTTTCATATAGAATGAACTCGGCGAAGTTCTGGAACTCGGGGCAAAACAAGATTCTAGTAGTGAAGGGTCATGGAGACAAAACATATTGTTTATCGATTGTACTGGTAGAACATGAAGACAAACCATGCAAAACTAATTAAGGTACCCTGAAAAACTAATTAAGGCGATGTTGGCAGATTCTCCTCCTCTTCTTGTACCTGTTCTTCCCTGTCTTTCATCACCCAATATAGAGTCTTCTCCATGTCGAAGAGTTCTTTGTCTTGCGCTCCTGTCTGCCTGTCGTGCCTTTCCATGAAGTATCGCGCTTTTGTTTTGTAAGATATTTTCTTGTGGTTAACTCCATTGTACAAGGTGCTCGTCAGAAGCCACACGATGGTGATGAGCTCAGTGCCGCTCCCGAGCTGCCTGGCATGGGTGTCGTTCCTGCAGTGATTGGCCGCGTAGCACAGCATCTCCACCCACACATGAAAGACCACTTCCATCACCACAGGAACACGTGGATAGACGCGTATATGTCCAAAGATCTCCGGGGTATAGGGACGGACGTTGCACTGGTGCACCAGCCTGGTTGCAAGCCATACTGCTGGGAGGATCGCTATGGGTACTTCATCTCCTTCCCTGATGGCTCGAAACTCCCGGAACCCTGCACGGAAACTCTCGTACTGGATGCGACGAACATGGCTGGGAAGCAAGTGAGGCCGCTCCACGAGGAGGAAAACCATGTACCTCGACAGTGTACGGATCGCCTTGGCTAATTGCACTGTCCTTATCATATCTTCGCTGCTTATGCGTCCTACCGACTCTCTCATATTGCGTACCATGTCTAGATCTGCCCGCCTAGGATGACGTGACAAGTTGTCGCTGTCCATAGTACACAAATCAAAAAATTAAAGGAGGGCATCAGTGGCGTAGTGCCAGGTGAGTATGCTTCCATGAAAAGCAGCCTTGTCAGTATCGAGTGTGCTGCCATCTAAACCCATCGCGTGAATGTCCTTGATGAGAGCATCATAGATGTCCCTGCTCCAATCTTGGCGCGAGAGGGCAAACTGGCCACGGAAACCCCACATCATTTGCTCATCTCCTCCACAGTATACAACCATCCAACATATATGATTTACCAACGTAATCTCCTCTTGAAGAGAGATGGCAACAGAGCCGGAGAAACGCAGCTTGTTCAACCAGTGCTCCAGCCTGAATAAATGTGCTACCATGTAGCATGCACCAGTGCGACTGTGCATGTAGAATCGCGACAGATCGTACTGCCCGATGGTACCTGGCCACCTCCTGCATGTTTGTGCAACCCTGATACCCTGGCGAACATACACCACAGCACAATGGAGCCGGTTCCAACCAGCAGCTCGTAACCAGGTGCATGTCCAAGTTGAGAAGGCTGCCCTCAACAGGGATGCCACCTCCAGGGAAAATGCCCCAGCCAACAAGATGTAGGTGACCACCATGTCACCCTTGCTGTAACCGGAGCCCACCTTGGTAGACTGATGGAACAGGTAGAACGCCACGACGGTAAACACCGTCGAGACAATGCGGGACACTCGTCCGTGCCATGTGTGGATCACCGCCGCTTAGTGTAGAGGATGTCCCGCATCAAGGAGAGTTGCATCCCGACTAATTGCAGCAACTTGCTCCCCACGGGAGTAGTATCGGGATAAGTATCATCACAATAGACCATTATGGCCCCGATTTGGAACGGGGACGGCCACACCTTGAAATCAGCAAACTGGCCCATGCAGAGATGGAGGAGGTCATGAGCTCCCTGCAGGATACTTTCCTCATTATCCAAACAAGCTGGGATTCGGTACTCCGAGTTCCTGGCTTTCTTCGGTACCTCCAAGCGGTCGAGGAACTTGCTGATGTTTTCAAGGCCAGAGAAGTAGAGAGCAAATATCCTCTCCAGGTACTTGCCAACACCCACAAGGAACATCAACACAGCTGCAGCGAGCAAGGCCCTACTACCGCCGGCAACGTACTTGTACAAAACATATGTAGCTCCTGCTGCCTGCACCACGAGAGTAAATAGGTGGCGCAGCCATAACTCGTTGTCCGCCAAAGCGTAGGCAGTGATGCTGTCCTGTCCACCGAGGTGAACCAACAGCAGCGATGCCCAGAACGCCATGAGCTGCTGCTGCTCGCGTGCCTTGGTTTTCAGGGACATGTGGCCGAGCACGTATAAAGCGATGGAGTCAGCCATTTGGTACAGAAGCCAGAGGGCGCCATTCAACGCCGTTGACAGAAGGGGCCATTTTACAAACCGACGACACTCGGTGAAGATAAGCAGTAGCACTTGCAACAGTAAGCTTATAAGCAGCAGAAACTTGATCTCCCATACTTCCCATAGCTCATGCAGTCCCATTATTAGTTCCGGTTACTGAAAATGTTGAAAGATCAACATGACGGACCATCAATTAGTTAAACCCGGTTGGATAATCTAATCCTAGCCATGCTCAAGGGAAAATAGATCTGGCTATATAAAAAAGTTTAATCCTGATGTCATCAACGTAAAAAATATTTTATGTTACGTAAAATTACAAATGTAAAAACATAGTGTAAAATGTACCTAAAATACAACTTTTCTTGTCTTATGACCTATATATGTTTTTCTTATGCCAAATTTTACTTAGTGAATCAATGTGGATGTAACTAATTGTATTTCAAATGTAATTTGTTTATGAAATAATTGTAAACTTACCTCGGGTGAAGAATAACTTATTCTTTACCCTGGGTGATGAATAGACTTTATGTATGTATGTTATGTGTGTGTG